TGCTTATGTTTCTGTATTGATGATGATATCCCAAATGTTTTAAAATGAATAAAAATACATTTCTTCGGAAATGTTTTGATAACGCATTTATCATGTTTTACTGGGAACAAATTCCGCAACATTTTTATCAAAAGAAGTACTCTAATTTTTATAAAGCATAAACAAAATCGGTCTTTTCTGGCCGTGAAAATGGGGATGTCACAAGTACGCCCTGCGTACCGCATGTACGCCTAATGTACTAGCATGAGTCCTACGTTTCCAAGGCTTGACCGTGTATGTTGCGCATACCTCATGTACGTCCAGCGTACGAGCTGAAATGCAAGGATTTTGACACAAGGGACCAATAATGAAAAATACCTGAAAATCGGATGTTACACTCCTGCCACCGCTAAACCTCCCCTCAGCCACCACCTTTTTTGCCACTTTATGTTCTTAACTATTTTGTGGCGTTTCCAAGTCCAAGTCTCGAGTTTTTATTGTGGTTTCGTGGGTTATTTCGAGTCCAAAACAGCTCGGGTGTAAGTCGTTGCTACTTCGTGTTTTCTCGAGGCGCTTCCCGGAAACGATCACATTTTCGAGTCTAAACCAAGTTCACGTATCTTAAGTGAGTGCTTACGACCCCTTTTTGTAGCTTATATATATATATATATATATATATATATATATATATATATATATATTGTTGGGGGGAGGGGGAATACATATGCTCACTTATCTCGTTTACGCAAAACTCTCATGAAAATCGTATCTTGGTTACAAATGTTACTAGTTTAAACATTGTTATATTGTTTACTAAAAACTAGTTATAAATATGTTTTATATATGTTATAGTTGTTCAACATGTTACAACTAGTCAAAATAACATATCATTTCACTACAACAAAGTTATGATTTTATGTGACAATATATGTCAAAAATCGAATGTCAAAAAGATTACCACCTTTGTAGTATTTCAAACTTATATCGTGCATGTATATATATATATATATATATTATAACTTATATATATACATGTACCAGTGATCATTACTATGAGATTTACCACTAATTTAAGCGAGTATTGTACACTTTTACATATGTACTTACTCGACTTTTATAGTAAAACTTTAACAGTATACCTTAGTTAATGACTTTTATAGTGAGATGCTATTCATTATATAAGTATAAACACTTAGTATATCCACTTGACTATAAGTTATTCATTATATAAGTATAAACACTTAGTATATCCACTTGACTATAATCGTTAATCCTCGGAGCGAGATACATATGTATAGATCTATACTGGTTGACACTCCTACCTACGGTTGGTAGCTACAACTTCAACTGGTCAATTGAAGCGGGTGATAAATATCTTAAGTCTTTATCCACGATGTCCAATGAAGCGTCGTAAAGGGTTATATCTTGTCACATAGCTCAGTTATAGGACTCACTATAAACATTAATTGAATCTCTCTCTATCTAAAAACCACGGGTTTAGTTTCTTCTCCACAAAACAGTTATAAGTTAGAAACCACGGATTCGGTTTCTCTCTTTACAAAATAGTTATAGGTATGATTTTACTTATGGAAAAACATTTTTTGGTTTTCAAAGTTTCTTTAAATACTCTTTACCAACTCATTCATAAGTATGGTTTTACTTACAAAGAAAATACTTTTTGAACGCTTTAAAAGTAGCACTACTGCTCTAGCAGAAAATGTGTAACTCTTACCAACCTTGTGTTGACCCTCAAAACAACATGTATTCTCATAAAATCACTAAACAAGCATTTCAGACGACATAATAGTCATGGATTTCAGACGACCTAGTTTTCTAGTTTTTGTTATATATATATCTGTCTGTTTAAGGCAATTCATGTACTATATTATTATCTGTAAGAACCTTATATTCAAACTTTAAGATGAAATACAACTACTGTTTTATTATTGTTGTACTTATGCTATATATTCAATTGTTTGGGATCCATGAACTAAGTCGCACAACCCGACATGTTCTGTCGCCTCGGCCGGGGGTGTGACAAATCGGAACAAATGGATACCCTTAAAGATTAATTGTTTCATGTGACAGTTGTTTATAAATAGAATTCCAACTTATTCAAACTTATTAAAGAAGGGGATTACGGTAGGAGTAAGCATTTGGACCTGACCGATTCTTGGACCGGACTGGTTTTGCAGAAATTTGTGGACCTTGGACCGGACCCGTTAAGGCTTACCAGGTCCAGGTCCAAGTCCAAGTCTGGTTCCCGATCTGAAGGTCCGAATGTTCACCCCTAGATTACGGTGAATTCGAAATTATGACCTTTTTGTCACTCCATGGTGGAAGTTCTGGATCATACTTTCTTATCCTGTTACGTTGCTTCAGATTTGTGGAAATGGTTGTTAGAGTGGTCTTTTGTTATCCCTTGAATGCCTTTGTCTTGTTCGGAGTTGATTGATACGGTGTATTCGTGCACACGTGGAGTAAAATGAAGAAACTGAGACTCTCTCTTGTGCAAGGCCGGCCTTATGTAGGGATAAACAAAGATAGGGCTTAGGGCCCCCACTTTTAAGGGGCCCCACTTAAACTCAATTTCCGATTACCACTTTGATATTTCATTTGGTCGTTCCCAAAAAAAATCCAATTCCCTGCACGCCTTTCCCGCAATCGTTGCACGCCTAACGCCTCAAAAGAGGTTATGTTCTTCTTATTCTTCTTATTGTACAAGCGACGATTACTGCTCTTCTTCTTCCTTCCATTCTCGGCTTGAACACTCTCGAACACTCTGAAGTCGGAACCGTTGAAATACATTACATTCTATTCTTCTTCTTCCTTCTCCATTCTCGGCTTCTTCATTCTCAATTGAAGGTTGTCATAGACTCACAGTATCACTGAAACGGTAATATATTTTGCAATTTTTTTCACTTTTCACTTTTTATTTTTCCATTATCTGTCATGTTGTCATTTGATTATCTAATTATGGTTAATACTTAAAGCTGATTAGGGTTATTGGCTTTGATTTGTGGAATTGGAATGAAATCAGAATTTATTTTTTTCCGATCAAAATCATGTTTGTTTTAAAAATCCGGACTGAAGGTAGATTGGTAGTAACCATGTTCAATCAAAATCGTTTCTGAGTTGTCTGACTATACAACATCTCTTGTTCTTTAGCAAATTCAAATGAGAATGAATCTTTCTTAATCTGATTTTTTTATTTCATGGGTTAATACTTTTCGGTTCTTATTTTTTCATTTATCTAATTTTTTATTCCATTGTTCATTGATTACAAAGACTACAGTATATACAATCAGTGAATCAAGTTGGATTGTTGGAACGAATTTGAGTTTTCAGTTTTCCATATTTGACAAGGGGCCCCCAAATTTTTGGTTCGCTTAGAGCCTCCACACCGGTTGAGACGGCCCTGCTCTTGTGTACACAACTTTATGGTTTATATGGAAGACCCGCAATGTCATTGTCTTCACGAATAAACGACTATGCAAATGACAGACGACATTAGTATCAGCACATATACTTGGATGAATAATAGATCGAAACTTAGTAAAATTGATTGGTTTAATTGATGTATATCTCTAATTCTAAACTCTTTTTTGTAATTGTTTGAACTTCTCGCTTAAGCCTTTTATTAGTTTAAGCCTTTTAATAATGTTATTGCTCACTGTTTAGATAAAAAGGTTTATAATTGTAGGGTGGGACCTAATAGATTGCTATCTTTCAATATTTCTGTTACAATGCAATTTCTTGACATTCTATCTGGAAAATTACATGTGTTACTGTCGACATCCTGTTATAGCTTATAGGTCCGCTGCTGAAGTCATTGCTAACATCAAGTAGAAAGTAAGAAACCTTTGAGTTTGGATTATAAATAGTATTTTAACAATAATTAACGATAATTAAATATAGGGATAATGACTTAAAAGGGTAATATATTTTTCGATTTGTACACATTTGGTCACTGAGTTTTTTTTTCGTCCACATTTACCCCTTCAACTTGTTAAACCGTACACATTTAGTCCTTATGACCGACTACTTCAAGTTAGCCGGTAAAAATGACTTAATAGGGTAATATATTTCTCACTTTGTACACATTTAGTCCTTAATATTTTTGTACACATTTAGTCCTTAATATTTTTTTTTTGCAAAATAAGTTATTTTTGTTTTTGTACTCATTCAGTACTTATGAATGATTTCTTTAAGTTTTTCTCACGACATCTTACGTGTGATAGCCATATGGTAGTGGGATGGGTTGATGCGGTCGTGCTATATGTTGTAGGCCAAGATACCTGGTGTGGGCCGACTGTAAGCCGTAGGCACGGAGGCTCGAGAAGAGCGGTTGGGTTAAGACGGCAGACCAACAAACCCTGGGTATTCTAGTACGATGACTAATTGGATCTGTTGCATGTTGACATTCCAGTCCGATAACTGATTTGGCCAATGTATTCCAATCTGATGAGTGTGGGCCCGTTATGCATGATAATACGTTTGTTGTATCGGATATTTTGGGGGAAACTCGTTAAACTTTGAGCTTACCCAGTTGTTTATGTTTTCAGGTTCTATCGTTGATCGTGGGAAGGCAAATGCAGGACTGTACATACTCATCAACAATATTGAGGATTCCGCGTTTGATTTTCGATAAATGTATTTTGGAATAAACGTTTTTTCTTAATAATAGATTTATAATTAGAGAGTTTTGCCTTATTTAAAATGAAGTTTTTTTGTACTGAATGAGTACAATAACAAAAATGATTTATTTTGAAACAAAAAAATATTAAGGACTAAATGTGTACAAAAATATCAATGATTAAATGTGTACAAAATGAGAAATATATTACCCTATTAAGTCATTTTTCTCGGCTAACCTGGAGTAACCGGTCATAATGATTGAATGTGTACAGTTTAACAAATTGAAAGGGTAAATATGGACAAAAAAAAAACTCAATGACCAAACGTGTACAAATCCAATAATATATTACCAAGTCATTATCCCTTAAATATACGTAGAAAACTTTCAAAAAGAGCCAGTAGGACTGGCCCGCCTTTCGCGGTTCGGAGTGCACCGGTTCATCGAGGTTTTAAGCCATGTGTTGCCTCCATTTCTCTCAAACGCAGGTCTCCTCTTTGTCTCTTCTTGTTGGTCCTTAAACCTCGTGTCGTGGCTCTCGCAGAATCTGAAACGAGGACAATTATGAATACATTAACCCTTGCCCTAACCGCCGGTGCCGGACTTTCGAGGAGGTCTATAGTCACTGATTCAAACGATATTGAGTTCGGAGACCCTTGGTGGTTTGTTTATGCCGGAGTTTCGTGTATTCTTGTACTATTTGCGGGGATCATGTCCGGTTTAACCTTGGGACTGATGTCTTTGGGAGTTGTTGAGCTTGAGATTCTCCATAGGAGTGGTACCAACAAAGAGAAGAAACAAGCAGGTACCATTAATTTATTGGTTGCGTTCCAATTTTGACCGAGTCCTTTTGAGTTTTGATTGAACTGTGAAAAAATTGTTCCATCTTATATTGCTAAATCTCTTTTAACAAGTCTACCAAACTCGGTTGTGTGTTAGGTAGAGAACTTGATTTTTTTTTTTTTTTAATATTAAATTTAAATGATAGGTGTTCATCAAATCTCCAAAATTAGCCAAATGAGAATTCTTCAGTTCGATATATAGAGGATGGGAATTTCAATCCAGCCTTTGTTTTGGGATCAGTTGTCGTTTAGTGAACTCTAGATGCCATAGCCAGAAATTAGAACTTGAATATTTCTGTTAGATTTATGGTTGATTCATGAACTTGTTTAGTTGTGTGGTATGCAAGAATTGACCATTGCAGCTTGAATGAATGCTATGTTACTCTTGGTTACAAAGTATATTCTTATAAAAATAAAAAACTGTACTTACTTTCATTTTATTTGGTCAGAAAACTCCATTAAATATTTGCTTCCCTTACAGCTGCTATCCTCCCGGTTGTCCAAAAGCAACACCAGCTTCTTGTAACACTGCTTCTGTGTAATGCTGCAGCCATGGAGGTGAGTTCACATCTAATGCTTTTTTTCTCTTTGATGATAACAAGTTTGATCATTGTTTGTATCTATGTTTCAAATATAACTATTCTACAAATTCGTCTGCATATGCACCAGTCATTTGATACTACATTTCCACTAGGAGTGAGTGTTTTAGCTTGTCCATTAATGGGATAGCATCTTTTCATTTTGTAGTTTTAGTATCTTTTAAGTTTTTTATGAGATGGAATTTTAATTATCATGTTATTGAAAGAAAACTGGTAAAAAAGTGTCTCTTGTTTCTATGCTGCTGTATTTGATGATTTATTTGCATAAAGAGTCGGAAGTGTAAATGTTATATGAACATAAAATTTTAAAATTGTGAACTTTGTTATTCAATGTACGACTTATAGGCTTCACATTTATTGTGATGTTATACCTGTGTATATTAATAGTCACTGATTACAATTCTAAGTTGTAACTCCCTGCAGGCTCTTCCTATTTACCTGGATAAGATTTTTCATCCAGCTGTTGCAGTGTTGTTGTCAGTGACCTTTGTGCTGATATTTGGAGAGGTATGTAACTGGCTGTTGGTATTGTATGATATTCCTTTTTGCTACAATAAGATATTTTACATGATGAAGACTAAAGTATTATAATATACCAGGTAATTCCACAAGCAATATCAACAAGATATGGGCTTGCTGTGGGTGCTAATTTTGTGGGGCTTGTCCGAGTTTTGATGATCATTTGTTATCCTATTGCTTATCCTGTTGGAAAGGTAATTTCTAATGTGTAGTTGACGATTGCTGTGAATGTGATTGATAAGATCCCTGTTTCTTTGAGTTTTTATGTAGTAGTGAATTTATTCTATCTAAAGCCATTTGAGTTTTCTATGACAAATGCAGCATATAGAATTAATAAAGTTGACACATTTTCAGGTTTTGGATGCTTTAATCGGGCATAATGATGCTCTGTTTCGGCGGGCCCAGTTGAAAGCCCTTGTATCCATTCATGGCCAAGAGGTAAACCTTCATTTGTGGCACAAAGCTAAACATTGGCATATGCCTGATGCCTACATTTGCACACAGCTAAGAGATATGGTTGCAAGTCATGAATTTTTATCTTCTATAACTTGTACTCTTCCCTTTTGTTGTTTCTCTTGAAAAATCCTTATAGGCTGGTAAAGGGGGTGAACTTACACATGATGAGACTACCATCATAAGTGGAGCACTTGATTTGACAGAAAAGGTATACTTTGCAGGAAATATATCATTGTAACACTTATTATACTTTATTTACCTATAAAAAGGCAACCTCTTTAGAGAAGGCTATCCTTCAGCAATATATGTATATATATATATATATATATCCAACAACAATGGTGATCTGTATTATCTTGTTTTGAGCAATTTGGTTGTAGATATGCTTCGTGTTAGCCGTATCTCCATTTCTTTCTTCTTTTTGGCTGATATCCATGGCATTATGGCAACACTGAAAGCTACTTTTATTAAAATCATATTTCATTGTATTCTTGTTAGCACATAATGCATGCTTATTAGCTCAAATATACCCCATGAAAATTACTACAACATTAGCCTAAGTATTTGATTTATTCGGATGTATCTGTTTAATAGGATGATGACATGACATGAATGTAACATATAAGAATATGTGCAGACTGCAGAGGAGGCCATGACACCTATTGAATCAACATTCTCGCTGGATGTCAATTCAAAATTGGACTGGTGAGTTCCACTGCCAAGTCTCCCATGTTTCTTGTTAATTCTTATTAGTTAGCAATAGCATGTCTAAAAGATTTATATTATATATTCTCTCAAATGTCAAATCTCATTCCATCCTCTTCTTTCATATTTCATGTTTGTTGTGAACATTAGAAAATTGGCACACTCTATTGATTTACATGTACTTGATATCGTGTAGGGAAGCAATTGGGAAAATTCTTGCCAAAGGCCATAGCCGTGTTCCTGTCTATTCTGGGAACCCTAGGAACATCATCGGACTCCTATTGGTAAATCCACAGACTCCCAAATCTTCTAACTTGTTATATTGGCATCGGTTGTTGTAAAAGCCTCTAAAGCTGGGTTTCCTTTTTCATTTTCACCTAATAGGTGAAAAGCCTTCTTACTGTTAGAGCAGAAACAGAGACTCCAGTTAGTGCTGTTTCCATTAGGAAAATCCCAAGGCAAGTGTATTTCACTATTTTTTTTTTTTTTTTTTACTCTGGTTCTATGTTTTCTTATTCATGATATATTTTTATGTTCCAGGGTTCCAGCAGATATGCCATTGTATGACATCCTTAACCAGTTTCAAAAAGGTGGCAGTCATATGGCGGCTGTGGTCCGAGTCAAAAGCAAAGACCCTCCTCCTCCTCCTGATAAATTAGTTGCGAAAAATGGGAACAAATATTCACAACTGACTAAACCATTGTTGTCCGAACGTAAAGAAGAATCGGATTTTGTGGTCGATATTGACAAGACTTTGAAGTCAACCATGCAGCATGCAGCAAAAAGTATAACATGTCTGACTGATGATGTTGAAGAAGGAGAAGTCATTGGCATCATCACACTCGAAGACGTTTTTGAAGAGCTTCTACAAGTATCTTGCTCATCATTCCTTTGTCTTAATTATTTTGCTTCCAACTTGGTCCATGTTTTTATTCCCCAGTAGCTAAAACAGTTTCTCTCTCTGGCTGTGTTGCAGGAGGAAATTGTTGATGAAACTGATGTATATATAGATGTACATAAAAGGTGAGTGTATCTTACTTTGACATTTCTAGTCAATCTAATTAAACTACTAAAACTTACATTGTCATTCATTACTAAATGTTTCAGAATACGGGTAGCTGCTGCAGCTGCTGCTTCAGTTGTTGCCCGAGCACCCTCAACCAGAAGACTAGCTGCTCAAAGACCCACAGTATGTCTCACTCCTTTTTACATCATTTTTTATTATTATCTGTTAAATTTCTACATACACACTGTTACTTGTTCAAATAATCTCTATTTTTATTGTTGAAATTTACCAGGTGGTCAAAGAAGACAAGGCAACCCACAACGGTTCAATCTAAACACATTTGTAGCTTGTTCAAAGTACCAACTACAGTGATAATATAACTATATAAGTAGGTGGTTAGTAGAATGGTTTATTCGTCTTTACCATGTAAAATTTTACTGCCGCGTTGTGCCTATTTACACCAAGGGGTAAAAAGCTGAATATAAAAACTTAAGAACAATCCTTTTCGTTTTTTACTAATTAGGCTTAGGCTTCATTGGCTTCGCCTCATTTTCTAGAATAAACAAAGGAGGAGGACTAGTTGAGTAAATAAAAATGTCGCTTATTATTATTTTGTTTAAATGAATTCAGTTTTATGAAATTTCTTTATTAAAATCACAAACTTGAATTACCATCATTAATGAGCATACACAATAATGTTTGCCTAAAGGGGGGATAATTTAATTATACATGTGGAAATTGATCAATTTAACAAATTAACAATAACACCCTCTTAGTCCTATAGGAATGGGCAAGGGAAAGGTAAGATGTAGGCGTTTGGAATTGCTTTTATAGATACTTCCAACATATAAAAAAATTTGGGCCCTCCCTTCAAATGAAAACTTGGCCCACAACTAGAAATAAACTACAATTGTGTGATTAAAAAAAAAGACATACAAGCAATAAATTGAAAATAAAGATGCCATGAGTGAGCTTGTAAATACTCCATGAGTACACACAACAAAAACATATACTACCTATATAGTAGGAAGAAAATATAAGGCGGTAAGAGTGTCAAGTATAAACAATGACCATATTCTCATAAAGAGCCAACTCCATAAGTTTAAAATGATACTATTATTTTTTTTTTTTCTCTCTAACATCCTCTCATCCTCGTACCATCGACAAATATGGTCTCCATCCTCCTAATTGCAGTTGTTGGTTGTCTCCTATGGATGTCTAAAGATCGCAATTTCCCTTCCCTTACTTTTTCGGTGATCGATGCCACTCCGAGTGAATTTGTGATTGTGGTGTTCAGTACCATCCCTAACAAAGTTCTACCACGTGTCCACCAACATATCTTCATTTCCATGGCTTTTGTCTTCTTCTCATGCCTTTCTCAATTAGCAATTATTTAGAACCATACAAAATGTTGTCATTGCTGCCACTCTATAAAATTCATTTCTTGGTTTCTGTGACTTTCTTATCGCATAAAACTTAAGTTGTTGCTCTCCATTTTAACCATCATGCTTTTATGTTGGGGATAATTTCTTCCTCATGACACCCTTCCTAATGGACTATAGACCCAATGAACTTGAAGTTTAGATTCATCAATCTGAGTTATACCTTTTTGATAATGGGAGGTTAGGTAAAAAAAATTATAAAAAAATAGTTGAAAAGGAGAGAAACAAACAAGTTCAAAGTCTTGTAAAATATACTCAGGTGTTTATAAGCTTATACACATTTTATTAAAAAAACTCATTATTAATTTATTAATAAATTTCTAAAGCATGTTTAAAATATTATTTTTTATGAATTCAAAAAAACTATGGTTAGAAAAAGCGCTGCGGAATCAACCTATCTAATTCCACCCAATTAATTTGATCCGTCATTTTTTGTCATTTATATTTATAGTATGTTATAAACCGTATAATACAAAGTTGATAAATTAAAATAACATAGATAATGATTGTAACCAAAGAGTTTTTGGCTCAACGGTATCAGGTGTTGTCATCTTTCCTTGAGGTTGAGGGTGCAAGTCCCGTCATAGACATAAATGAAAATTAAGTAGCTAGTGTAGGAGTAGGTTAGATTTATCGTTCAAAGAAAAGATAATATTTGTAATAAATAAATGGAATAGAAGATTATTTATAATTGATTGTTTCAGTAATTGATTATCAAACATTTTGAAAGATTTTGAAGAAGAATTAAATTTAAATGTAAAATCATAAAAAGACACATGTCATTTTTTGAGTGTAAAAAAATTATAAATTATAAAAAGATAACGATGGCAAAATTAGGATTTTTTTTATTAGAAGAAAGAGAAGAAAAGAGATTTTCACCTTTTAATATGGTTTTCAAATGTCTTTCTAAATTTGGTCCAATTAAGCTACATGGCTAATTATGTTCTTTCTAGAAAGACATTCAGAAATCATGACGTCAACTCTTAACTTTTACATGGTAAACAATGAATATGTCATTCTAGTAAGTAACCATTTATTTCTACTATCATTGTACTTCTTTACCGGCCGATGTGCAATAACCCTATGAAATACTCGACTATTAAGCCGTCCATGGGTAGTATATGTTGCAGGAACACAACAGAATCAAAATCCTATGATCAAACAAAACTCATTCGGTCCAAAATGAAGATTATAACCTCCAATTTGAATGAAGATATGTTGGTGGTTGTCGATTAATGTAACTAGATCTAGTAAACGAGGACAACATTGATAAGTAGCGGGTCCCTAAAAATGGCCAGAGGCATCCAACCACGACACCAAACATGTTGTCCTAAAAAAAGCCTTACGATATAACTCTTAACTTCAGCAATATAATTAGTCAAATTTACGGAGTTGTCATTAGAATGCCACCTCCTGCAAGATAACATGTAATATCAAATAATCGAAAAATATGAACATTGAAAATTTTATTAAAAAGATATTTCGTAACATGTGGACTTTTTCACAACACTCGGCCAAATAGCCATGGGTTGCCAAATATGTTTACCGCCATTAACGTTGTTTTTAAACTCTATACCAAATATAGGATGTTTGTAACAAACTATATATCCTAATTCGTAACAAAAACGTACACTTGATTTTGACATATAAAAGTTGTGAAAACCATTTCCAGTTTGTGATATATGAGTTGAAGGATATGTTTTTAACGAAATACATATTTATTTTCAACTATGTACCAAAGTCGGCATGTTCTCAACAACTTTATAACCTCTATATACATCTATTTTTAAAAAACATAAAAAGCTTTTGAATACCACATTTGAGAAACCTATATTAAAAGTTGTGGAATACTCCAAGTTGTGATGTACATAGCCAAAAATGAAAAATTAAGTTGTGAAAAAAAGTATACTTTATGTATATACAAAGATAATTAAAGAAACTTATTTGGTTTGAAGCCGTTTGATAGATAAAAAGATGCTGAGTAGAAATTGAGAGTGACAAGGAAGATTGTAAAATGGCAAGTCAAGTTTATTATATATATATATATATATATATATATATATATATATATATATTATATATATATACATACTAGGTTACAACCCGTGGAAACCACGGGTAAAAAGATTTATAAAATTTTATTAAAAATAATAAACATACCTAAACACAAGAAAATAAATTACAAATTAAAATGATCAACACATTGTGTTTGATGCAAGAAATAAGAATATATTCTTTATTTATTCTTGACAAAACTTCAAAAATGGTCCCTGTGGTTTTCGAAAATATCAAGTTTAATCCCTAAGTTCAAAAAACCTCACAGATGGTCCCTGTGGTTTCAAAACTTTTAACATTTGGTCCTTCCGACTCACCCCGTTAGCATTTCACCGTTAACTCATTTTTTAATTTTATATTGCAGGGGTAATTTCGTCATTTCAGTTGTAACCTTCTCTCTTTAATATGAAATGATTACCTATTGCTTGCACGTCACTACCCGTCCCTCTCCCAAGAAGATAACCAGTTACATCTGTATTCATCGGTTCATTCCCATCGTAGAAGCAAGAACAGAAATTGGGATTTAGGGTTTTAAGCTGCAGGAATTGCAATGATGTTATCAATATGGTGTTTTCGAGAAAAAATTGTAACTGTGGAGGACTTAGGAAAAAGATACGGTACAATACTACAACAAAACTTGTTTTTTCTTGGTCGATTGTGTTCACGTAGAGAAATCATTGATTTTACTCTTTTTTTGTGTTTGCAGAAGGATATGACAACTATTTCACGTTGAAAATACACTACAGTGGTGTCTTCACCAAAGCACCTGGAAGGAAATACATTGATCGTGTTGTAGCATATGTAGATGATGTTGACACTGATTTATTTTCAGTTCATGAGCTTGACGACATGGTCCGAGAACTAGGGTACAAAACTGAGCAAACCCTTTACTACCATTTATGTATCCCTGAATACCCTTTGGACTATGGCTTAATGCCTTTAGGTAATGACCAAGATGTACTTAAAATGGTATCATATGTCCCTAAACACAGACTTATTAGGTTGTATATTGAAACTGGTCAGACAAGGGTAGCTAGTTATTACAAGTCTCCTTCTAAAGTTGTTATTGAAGAGTTGGAGCCTGATAGTGTGTCACCAGAAATGAATAGAAAGAAACCTTGTAGGAGAGAAGCAGGATCATGTAGTAGAAAGCTTGATCTAAACAAGTCTATGAACCCTGATTATGAGCAGTCATAAGTATTAGATGTTGATGAAGGGCATGATTACTCAAAGAGTATTCTGCCATTTATAAGGTCACAAGCTAGCAAACAAAGTCATGTCATTCAAGAGGAAGTGGTGAATCATGAAATTGAAACTCAAGAAGAAGTGATCACTAGTGCAGTTGAAACTGAAGAACCATTGGGAACTTACCCTGTACAGGAACCAAGCTGCCAAGCTGAAGATGGAGCTAATACTGCAACAGTTGATGACTATGAACCATTTATAGAGGATTACTCACTTTATGCTGATTATGATGTTGAGTTTAATGTTCAAACTTCATTTGAACAACAACCAGAAATGGATTATCTAGAGGGTATGGTGAGTGATGATAGTGGAGAGGCTTTCTATTCTGAGAGTGGCCATGGTTCTGAGGATAGTGGGGACCATCTGTGAGGTTTTTTGAACTTAGGGATTAAACTTGATATTTTCAAAAACCACAGGGACCATTTTTGAAGTTTTGTCTTTTTTTAAAGAGAGAAGGTTACAACTGAAATGACGAAATTACCCATGCAATATAAAATTAAAAAATGAGTTAACGGTGAAATGCTAACGGAGTGAGCCGGAAGGACCAAATGTTAAAAGTTTTGAAACCACAGGGACCATCTGTGAGGCTTTTTGAACTTAGGGATTAAACTTGATATTTTCGAAAACCACAGGGACCATTTTTGAAGTTTTGTCTTTATTCTTTTATAATAACATCCGAGGTTTATCTCTTACTATTACAATAATATACTTTAAAAAATATTGTAATGT